AGACAGACAATGACGATATTTAATGAACTCCATTTCCCCGATTTGATTTCCGCTCAGTTCAATATAGAAAATGATCTTTTCTGTATTGTCTCTGGTCTTGGTGATGTAGAACTTTTGTTGTTTTAGATTTTCATAATGAAAACACTAAATTTTATAGTTAGAACATTCAACCGGATCACGAAAGGATGATAGTTTGAATATCATCTCAAGCAATGATATTACATTTATTGTAATATCATTGATCTCAAGTATCAGGCACTGGCGAATTTTTAAATATTTTATCTTACATCTTCTTTGATCACTCGGGTATGAGGTGTCCATGTCTATCTCCTCCCCGCTCGCCTGCTGCACTAACACTGCGCTTTCCCTTTTTTCCTTGAATTGTGAGATGAAGAACTTTGTCTTTGTTAGTTTTCACAACGTGGTCAAAATAAGAGAGTTTGCGGCACTTTATGGTAAATCCCGAGCTCATTCAAATTTTTACCCGTCCTTTGCAGTAGGAACTTATATGTTGCTCACGATGTCGCATCATATCGTGGGAGGTTAGTATCCAAGAGTCAACCCAATACAAAAATATTGAAATAGAGAATAATGCACACGTTCCCGTGTACAGAAAGATCTCCAACCAAAATCTGGAAAAATAACCAATAATCGGGACGTGTCCGTGGAACTTCGAACGAATGGTAACTCTACATATAAACCGCTGCGGCTTAATTAACTATGAAAATACAAAGCCGATTTAACTTTTAAATGAAAAAATTGTAAATAATTGATTTTCATTTGGTTATTCATGAACGAGCTTGATAACACTAGGCGATTTCAGTTTTATTAAGCTAAAAGGTATTTTCACGATGTTTATTTTAGGTAAGTTTAAGTGGATAATAATATGGATAGTGGAATTTATCATGATAGTCATCGGCCTGTTAATGTTCTCAGTGCTAGGACAGGCCTTTGGATTCGGCGTAAAGGTATAGACAGATAGAATATTAATTTATTAGGTTCTTGGTTCACATTGTGTGTAATAAATTGGTTTTCGTCAAAATTTGCGTAATTTTTAATATAGGAAGAAACACCGCGATCATTGATGACATAATATTATTATTTACAAAAAATAGGAAAATTAATATAATTACTTACATATTTCAATTTTTTTTAATAATATTCATGGTACAGTGAAGAGGAATATACCCGAATACTTATTTCTTTTTTTCGTCTATTTAAGAACTATTTATTTTTATTGGTAAGTTTTGGTTCTCTTTAGTGTTTGTTTTGTGAAAAAAAGGGTGAAGAAAAAAAAAGGATGTTATCAATAATGTTTATAACACATTATTAATAACATCCTGTTTTCTTATGTTTTTTAATAATAATTATTATGTTTAAAAAAAAGCTCCGTCAACTTACCACGCGAACAGATCGTTTACTTCTAGTAGATTCCTCTACGTTGTTGTATATTTTATTGGCTTTAAAAACATGCTTTGATGTTATAATATCGAACACCAAAGTTTTAATGAAAACAAGAAAGTAATTACCTCAAATATAGCTTTTTAGTCTAGATGCCTTTGCTTTTAATTAAACAAACAACAAAACAGTAATGGCCCATAGCGTCAGGCAATGATTCTATTTTAGAAGCGATTAATAATGTCCAAGCTCAAGATAAAATTGCCGTTTTAAACACTGATATTTTGATGATAAGGTTAGATTACTGGCCACGTTTTGAAACAGAACATTTCATGAAACAAATGACCACATCATGAAATTACTTATAAGATATGGCCTCGAAATGTATTCTATTAGAACATCGACGCCATGATATCATATTATTAGCCTATGATGAGACAAATGCTTGTATGTATGCAAAAACTTTTATCGGTAAGAAATAAAGAAGATCGTGGTGCCCATCTCTCTATCTCTACTATGTTTTTCTTTCGCGCTAACTCACGATTATACACGATTGAATTATAAACTTTACTTTTCTTCCAGGTAGGTTCTATAAACACGCAGTGTCCCGTGGAGATATGTTCTAATTCAACGCGACGAATGGTCGATATCGCTAGGGTTGAAATACATCCAGGTGTGAGCAAGTCCAAGCCAGTGACGTATCCACCTAAGTTTCTTCAGGCCCGCTTGCAGTGGTTGCTGAAACTCAAAGAGAAAAGAGAGAGGAATAAAGATTTGAACTCTGATCGCCCGATGTAACGATGACAATTGCAATTATATCAAGAGTAAACTTTGTGTTTTATTTTTCGCCCTTTCGATTTTGTTTCCTTTTTATTATAAGGAAATATTAATTGAATCAAACTTTTATTCTTGCCAGAATGGGAAAGAGAAATTCGAATATATAGTATATAATTTAGAACAAAAGAGTACGGACTTATAAATAAGAGTATCATTTATTTAATATTATTTAAAAAAAGGTTCTTTTTCGGTTACGATAATTACTACGTCACTATGTCATTAGTTTATTAAAAATTGTGTGAAAAAAAGTATTTGGCGTTCTCTATTAGTGTTATAGATTAAAGAGTACGCTTACGCCTTGATATACGAGCACAATAATTTATAATAGAATATGGTTGGTAACCCTAGTGACAATACCAGTGCACAATCTTATGCGTGGTTTTTGCACCGACTAGATTATTAAGAGGGCGCGTCCTCTGAAAATGAGTAACTTTAAATAGCTTTTGTACAAAAAAATAACGTCCAAATGAATTGTAATAAAATATGACAAAACTACATCATATTTGTAATAGGTTCATAAGGTTATGGACCCATGTTTGGGGGTCCAAAACATGTATTTACAAAATTATCTCTATAGAAAAAAAATCACATAATTAACCTTAAAATTCACCATTTTTTTCTCGTCGTTTACTCTTTTCTAAAGGGAAAATTGATGAATATCTGAGTCACTTTGTAGTTGAGGCGAATATAAGTTATATATACGCCTGTTTTACATTTGTACAGTATAGAAATAAAGAAATACAGTTGTATTATTAGCTACCAACTATTCTTTATATAATTCTTTAAATAATTACATAATCGATAATAGTTTAAAAATAACAAATGCATTCGATTTACAAGATTGTACGTCATAATGGATTCATTTAATTCAATCGAAAATTTTACGCGTTACGCCTTACTATTAAAGTTAAAATCATAGATATCAATTGTAGCTCCTTACAATGACCAATCTCTATAAACGTCCAAGGATTTTATTAAGAAATTTGAAAAATTACAATTTTAAAGACATTTTTAATTGAAGGCCATCGTCTACTGCCAAAATGTAATGTAATTTCAAAAGCTGGTATTGTACATTGCTTAGAAAAGCTGGTAAAAATATGTATTTGTCTATATAGTCTACGAGATTAAAAAACAGACTTTACATACTTTCTCTGTAAGTACGATATTTTTATTGTTAAACTGTATACTATAAAATAAAAAGAATACGAAAACGAAAACAATATTATTGAAGATTTATCATTACATAAAGTTATTATACTTATATATAAACTATGTTGGCAAAATAAAAGTTCCATCATCTCTGTTCTATAACAAATCAAGTATATCAGTATTAATAAAGATACAAAGTAGTTGTTTTTCTGTGTTTTTTGCATATACTATGAATGTCTGCCGTTGACAAGTAAGCATGTTTTAGATTGTGCTGTTATTGTAATTGGAAGTGAAATCTTTTCTGAGTTATAGCACACTCCTAAACTCTGTCTTCTCTTTTGACATGAAAATAAGAAAAACACCTAAATAAATTTATTATTAAAGCTCCATGAAAAATATATTATCTATAATCACTCTTTTCTATGAGTATTCTCATTGTACACAAAATAGGCATCTAATCAATACTAGGTGCCTATTTTGTGTTCTCTTCGTAAATTGATACTTAGTTGCGGAAACAAACCGCCTGTTGAGAGGATGGATATTCTCTGTCAGTAGAAAATTGATTTCGGATTTACGATAGGTTCTAGATACCTGCCAGTGGAATGTAGATTCATCAAATGCAGTGCTATTTCCATTGTAAGTTACTTACAGTAGGGCTTCACGGTACGTGCACACTGTGTGAATACCCTGTAATTGCAATCAATTTGTAACTGCGGTCACACGCTGTGAGGCAAAGAATAGTGTGCAGACGATAAAATGAAGAAACATAATATAAATAATTCAGTTTATTTATTTTGTATTACAATGTTTAAAAAATCTTGTTTTAGGCTCAAGTGTTCAAGACAACATTCGAAGAGTCTCAGTAATTATATAAAATATCGAAAGAATATTTGATATCGAATAATTGGTTTACAGAAAAATTAAATTTATCCATCTGTATTTTTTATGACAATTAAATTGATAAAAGTATCCTTTTTTAAATTTTAATGTAGTATTTTTATTTATAGAATTTATTGCATAAACTATAGAATTTATTATTTAAACTGTTGAAATTTTGTCAGTCATTACGTCAAAAAGCATCACGTTAATTTATCGCTATGCAAATTGAAATTTTTGCAATGATTTGGGTTTCTCTAAATTTTCTCATAGATTTTATTGTTTTATCTTTTGTTTCATTACACAAATATTGATTATTATTAATTAAAAAAAATTTAATAAAAGCAATATCTTATACGAATGCTTGAATTCAATAACTATCTATATACCAGAACAGACTCCTTATAATAGAAGCCTGATATTGAGCGATCTTATCACAATTTTAATAGTTTTCGAGTAAAATGGGTATTCATAATGTCGCATCTGTTAACGCAACATAATCTTTGCATTCAAAAATGTCACACGCGAAGCGCAGAAGCAAATTCTGAATGCTTATTTTTTTCAGCTTGTGAATATACACATGTGGTGGCCACGGCGTTGCTTATGTTTTCTTTTATTATATCGGACGTGCATCAGTACAGTATAAAACCTAATCCCAGGGAGACCCGATCTCTAGTGCCGTTTCGTTCGTTTCTATATTAAGATCGCCTTCGCACGGCCTCGCTACACGATGCGTCCGCGCACAACGATCGCCCGCACAATAAAAACCAAACGTAGTACATATTATATTTTTCTCTCGAATACGACTTTTTCTGAGATCACTTGAATAAGTGACTCGGGAAAAGGTACTTTAAGTGAACATAATTTGAGTATCTAAAATTCATAAAATGGTAAGTAGAGTTAGTGGTACAAAAATAGAATGTGATCTTGAAATATTGGCTCGCTATACCATTGGGTATTATTTGTCTATGCTAAATAATAGTGTTACGTACGAAAGTGGTAGTTACTGGTGTCTATTAATTGGCATTGTATTAATTTCCAGTATGTGAAGTGATAACAAAGTGAGTTTAGAAATTGGAAGATTGTTGATACTGGTACAATGAAGTTCACTATAGATGTTTTGGGAATATTCTTGAAAGTTGTTATTAGGGTAAGTTATGTAGTAGAGAAAAATCATCATGAATAACATTAGAATGCACTAATCATTTATAATTTTCATAATCTATCCAGGAAAATAATTTTGTTTCTAATTAAAATAATACTTATTGACTTGTGTTCACTCGCTTATTTAAAAATCAGTAGTATAAAATCTTTGGAGAAAATATTATAACATTTAATAATACATTATGACATTAATTTTAAAAAGTCGTGACTATTTTAAGCCAGACGTCTATCCAAGGTCTTCCGTATATTTTAAATATATTTTTAAGACGCGTGTAGCGCTTACAAATTACGTCCAAACAGTGAGATAATAATAACCCGAATACTTGTTAGATTATTATGTAAACGAACACAACAATAAAAATAATATTCTATTCTAAATATCTGTATTAATGCTTCGTAAGTCTACAATATGTTTAATCTATTTTACGATTACTTACTAACTCTCTGTTAAAAACCATTAATTCAATCGTAAAAAAGTTAAAAATCTATTGCAAAAAACTCTTTGTTATCTCTTATATAGTTGATAGAAAGTCAGGTTTCTACAAAACGTTAATTTCAATGGATTTTATTGTCTCAAAATTGATTGCAGTAATTTTGACTTTATGTAGTAACACAATGTGTTGCGGTGTGTACCTACTACGGTAAGTAAATATAAGTCGATGAACAAAAGTAGACCCTTGTGGTATTGCCATGGCCCATTCTTACTATTTGAATGTGTCTAAAGGGAAAACTTCGCTATTTGAATGTGTTCAAACGATTTACTTCCATTAGTCTTTATCGATTCGCTATGGGTTTGCCGGCCATTACCAAGGCACATTCGCACGTTCTAACCTAACCTAACTTAACCCATTAATTGTTTTTTTTTCATTTAAAGGAACATTTCATCTTCATCGGCCTTGTTACGTCTCCACGGCAGGGGCTCAGGCCATCCTTATGCATGGTTAAGGAGGATAGGCCAAGACCCTCCACGCCAATGCGGATTGGAGGGTATTAACGACAGCAAATGCAGGCCTGTAACGTGCCACCTACCGCCATACAAAAGTTGCTTAACAACAACGATCACAGCCATGGCGCTTCAAAGGAAAGTTTAGTGAATTAATATAATAATATCCAACATCTTATGTATGCAAAAAAAAACTATATTTAAAGTACGTTATGCTAAAAAAAAGTATCTCGTTGCTATTCCATCTTTGTAAACTCATCTTATTCTAATATAATAATCAATTTATCACCCATGAAAATAAGCCTTCACATTGAACGGTTAAAATTTTCAAATACTTCAACCTTTCATAGTTTAACCGTATATTTTATTTGTTTTGATCTAATCAAGAGACGCAAATACCCTTGCGATTGACTAAAGTGAAGTGCATGTACGCAAACCCGTGGGTTTGAAACAGAGTTGGGTGAAAACATACGAGTATTAAGTGCTACCGCGGCCGCTTGTTATCGTCTGTCTGGATGCAGCAATTGTTCATTTTAAAATCCGTTATTTTATTTATCTAGCACGGATAGAAGTGCAATATAACTAAATCAGTCTAGGTAAATACAAGTATTTGTAAAAGTCGAAGGTAAAGCCATCGATTCACAAATCTTTGGCCGGAGACCTAATATTACGAGATATTAAAAATTTGAAAAAAAAAAACCTTCATTAGACTATGAAGTCAATTTCCATTATAATTTTCGCATTAGGTCCGCCTATATTTCATTTGACTTAAGTATATATAAAAAATAAATAATAATAATATAAAATTAAAAAACACATAAAACTAAAATATTTTTTTCTCGATTTCGATGAAATATCTAACAACATGCAAAAATTTTTGTCATTTAGAATTCTAAAACGGCATAAAATGTCTTCATTTAAAAAAAAATTTAAACAGAAGGTATAATATTTTACATGGAAAATATTATCTATTAATTTTATCTTCATGAACTCTATCTATGTGTTAAAAAGTACGTCATTTACATACGTCTTCTTCTAGCAAACATCACTCCTCCAATCGAGCTCCGTGTGTTTTCATGGCACGTTTAATCATTCAGTGTTCGTGTAAACATTTCGGGTGCTGTTGGATTGTTTAATAATAAAGTCGGTTAATGTTTGTTGGTATCCAAAATTTTGCTAGATGTATATATTTTAATGTATAATCTGAACGACGCGTAGCTTTTTGGAATACTAAAAACTTTATATTAAAAAGCTTAGCATATCATGAATTATATTAAAAAGTTTCAAAGTTTATAATTACGAGCCGAATCGATCGATGTTGTTGCCATGTCTATCTAGTTTTTTGGAAAAAGCAAATTCGAAATCATAATAATATTGAGAAAAAAAAATCACCTCTAGATAAAATTTTCTTATCGTCATCATGATCTCATCATCAGCCCCTTAACGTCCTCACTTCAGGGGCTCAAGTCTTCCTTATGGATGATTAAGGAGGAAGAGGAAGGAGGAGACAAAATAAGGTCATCCCTTCACATGTTTGTAAAACTACATTTGCTGCAAATTACAGTTTAAATTTGCATTCGTGTAAAAAAACATTAATTGAAGGGTTGTCTAGACTGGGATATGACGAGACTGAGGATTTATATAAAACAATAACGTAAATCTCAATGTGACTAAAAGTGATCCCAAGATTGATAATTTGTCGTTTGGCTGGGTACGTGTACATCGTATAATGTTGTCGTACATACACACACACACGCACACGCAAGTACTAAACACATACCGACACACACACTCATGCACACGCGAGCACACGCACACATAAGCACACACATGTACACACACCCACGAATACACACATCATAATATACTTATTTTGATATACCCGTAAAAAATGTACCTTGCATGTTATGTAGTTTAGTAAATAAATAAATGTATATCATTATTAAGAAGAGTGGGGCCTGCTTCTAGAGGAATCATTGTATACTTACTGGGCAGGTTCCAGCTTCGGTATATTGTTTATGTGCTAAATAAGCTTATGAATAAACCGTTTTTAATTTTTATTAATTTTTAATTCTATTGATTAATAAATTACTTTAATAACCTACGTTCTGGACTGAAAATGACTAAGAATATTTTATAGAATAATAGTTTAAAAAATTTGGCAGCCCTATCCACGTGGTAGATGATATCTAAACTGACTGGGCTGCCCTAGACCCTAGTAAAATCATGTGGGGCAGAGCGCAATTTAAACCTCTTGAAAATAGAAACCAGTAATAGCAATTAAATGAATTCGAGTTAGATTTGTAAGTTATTTAAGACATACAGACGTCGCATTCTGTTTTCGAGGATAGACAGACTAGCAGGCCAATTATATAAAATTTTACGTATCTAATAATCGCATTATAACATTATTTCATCGGCTTACATTCTTACCTTTGTACTATTTACCTAAAGTCCAATATATTATTATTGCAATGCCTTCCTTACCACTTATGGTAACAGATGTACATATAACAATATTGGACTTCAGGTATACATAGTGCAGTGGAAAAATGCAAGTGGCAAAAATGCAAATGGATATTCTTAAGATGCGATTATTATATAACATACGTTCTTCGCTAAGATCTTTGTAAGACTCAAATTTCACTGCTAGTGAGCGTATTTTTCTCCATTTAAGGTACTGACACCTAACATATTTATGAAAATTGGAGTGCTAAAAAGACGACTAGAATCTAGCTCTTTAAATAAGTTTCATTTTGACTTTGTATAATTATAGCTTCGTCCAGACTGATTAGTAAAGTCGGAAAACTTTATTTTAACCCACTTCACCTAGGTTTTATTATATTAAAAATATATTAACTACTATTAAATAAGCTATTGTCGATAAGACGAAAAGGAAAAAATGTAGTGCCTCAAAAATATCACTCTAAAAATATATAAAATTTAATTCCAGATAAACAAAGTGACGTTCGCACCACTAGTGGTGTCAACATTATTCATACTACTGACGTCATTATTAGCTCACTGCGCGCGACGTGTGGTGCAAAAGTTAGTGCAAGAGCCAACCGTCAGATTACTCCTGGAAGAGGCAATAGCGGCTGCTGAATTATGCGGGTGCTGCTTCGAACTTATAATCGGTAAATTTAAAAATGTTATTGTGCTTGTAATATTTAACAGGAATTGTAAATTTAAATGATTTGTCTTCAATCGAATCGAGATGAGTAGAAGGTTCACTCTCCTTCTAAGTTCTCTCTTGCATGACGATTTTCTCCTGAAGCATTCTTCTACAGCACCACATCTTAATATTTTATTAACTACAGAAAACATAAGCCCGACTACAATGTTTCTTAAAAAAATTAACCGCTTTTAAGATAAGTTTCATTTTTCACTTTTTGCAATTTGAAGTCGGTTCCATTATTGCTTATTAAAAATTATTTACAAAAAAAATAATTTCATGTGCAATTCATTAAGGATGAAGTAACTGATGAAAGTTTTGGTACGATAGTTAATTTTAAATGTGCCGGAATTACACTCTATTTGAGTGGGAGCTTACTATTCATCTATGGCTCATAACGCAGAAAAACAATATCGGTCTGAATATAAAAATTAAAAAAATATGATACTTTGGCAAGCTATATAAATGCCATTAAATAGATAGATGAACTCAACAACTCTTTTCCCAGCATACAAAAAGGTAAGGTATGGGGGCTCCAATTTTCTGTAGACGCCTTTGTTGGTCTACTGTACGCACAGAAAACTCCGTGTTCTGTGACTGTATGAGAGTAGTTAGTTGGTTGTGAGACCCTCATGTTTAGTTAATCAGTTGAATAATGTCTTGCCAGTTGACATATACATACATTTATAGCATTAATGCAAAGTCAGAGCTTGTAACTATAAACTAGTATGAGTGCTCTTTTACTATTTTGAATAGGAGTTAATCAATTGTAATTGTTTAAAAAACAAGTATTTCACATTCTTAGAATTTCAATCAATATTTCAATCAATCTCTAATCAACGATAACTTAGTATATAAAATTTTATTCCTGTGTTACTCGTAAGTACACTCTACCAAGAATTTTTTTCTTTTCTTTGTACAAACGTAAAAGCTACACGTCTCAATGTGGATACTTTTCCTCTAACACGCAAATAATGTTTTTTATAAATTTTCTGTTAAAAACAGAGTCGCCATCTTTCGGAAAATAAAATTTGGGACATGCGGACGGTCATCAAAAGTAATCGGACTTCAGTTCAATATTGATACTCATTATCAGCAAAAGTCTGCGGACAAAATTAAAAAAGTCCTTTTTTATATTAGTTATTTAACTAAGGTGATAAATAATTAAGACCCGCCTCATGATAAGCGGTCTCTTGCTATATTACGACTAAGGGTTCGGGATAAAAATCAACGCCAATTAAATTCATAATCTGACTTTATTTACTTAATGAAATTACAATAATAATTCAACAAAAACATTCACACTTCTTCAACTTCAAAATAAATAACACTATGGCCTCGGCCGTACTGGTGTATTCGAGGTATTACTAAAAAGTTCTAGAACAGCTACCGGTCCCTTTCTTCCCCAGTGACCATCCCTTTCTTGCCGACCCTCTGTATACTTCGTAACACTATGAATAACATGTGTAGTTTATAAACTTTTTTCAAAGAATAATTTAAATATAATAAGGTTTTTGTCGAGTTTTATCAAAAGTCGGGACAAAATGAATAAGCATTCGGAACGCGAGACAACCACATTAAAATCCGGACTATCCCGGAAAATGCGGGACGGGTGGCAACCCTGATTAGATGTCATAAGAACCTGTAAGCAATGAAAAGAACGATGAATTTTATGTATGTGTTCTTTATAATAATGTTGTAAACCCTAAAAAGACTAGTTTTGTCACTTATGTGTTCTAAAAGTATAACATCATCAGCCCTTTTACGTCCCCACTGCAAGGGCTCAGGCCTTCCTTATGGATGGCTAAGGAGTATGGGGCCATGACCCTCCACGCTGGCCCAATGCGGATTGGAGGGTATTGACGACTGAAAAATATAACATAGATGCTCTTTAATATCATAGAATTAAAATGCTTTGTTGAAAACTCTTATAGTACAACCAATCGCAATGGTTACTTTTATAGATTTTTTATCACTGAATGGTAACTTTGTTAATAACTCTGATACTACATAAACTCTCCGTTGTTCGTGTAACAATTATGAGATACAAATATAGCCTATTCTACACGGTAAAGCTAAAACTAGAAAAGAAAAACTTTTATGTGTAAATAAAATATAAAATAATGTTATATAAAAATGTAACTATGAATGAAATGATGTACCTACTATACTCTGAGGTTTATTTATTTTACTCCCGCATGCCGTTGAGAATGACTGCACGCTTGTAATGTTTCTCGAGTGATAAAAAAGTAGGCTTCAGGGACTAGCATCAATTTCTTTTATATTTGAAGCTATCATAAGAAGCCTAAGATTAATCTGATGAGCTCTGAGCTGTAAGTTGTTCCATATTATGGTTCTGGATTAGATCAGGTACATTCGATGTCATTGTGCTGTCTCGTGTGTGTTTACTTATTCAGTAATAATTAAGAGGGAAGGTTTGATTTCTTTTTTGTTTAATTGTATAACCACTTTTGTACCGATTTTAGAATACATCATACTAGGTTAAATAGGCTATAATGTAAGCCCTCGATTAATTTTTATATTCTTTCACTGACAATGAAAGCAATGCTTTGCTTTTAATTATTATTTCATATCGTAGAACAAAATCAATTTGGAGAAATTTTGCAATCTGCTTACCTGCGAGTCGTAAGCTAATTTATAAATTAAGCTAGTGTGAAAACAGTTTGACAAACTGACAAACAGGCAAAAAAAAATTATTTTTGTTTATGTACCATGTATACATATTTAATGAAAAGCGGTTATTTTAATATTACAAACAGACACTACATACATCTATAATCCGAACAGAATTTCCGTACCAAACTATTTTGACTCCCTATTCACCAGCTCAGGGTCTAACATACTTTGAAGTTACTATATTCTATTTTTCCTACCCTCATCTCCAAATATCTCAAACAATGTTAGAGGGAGACTAAACAGCAGTTTCTATGACACAATCACGTTTTATTATATAAGTATACACATTAATATTTTAATTTAAGTGACACCAGATATAGACAGACGTTATCAATTCAAACTACACTATGGTATCAGCGATGGTCTACGGACTTCGAATATCGTGCCTTGCTGGCTGACTAACAACAAACAATGGTTCTCTTTTCGCTCTTATTCGTCACCAAGTTCCTTGTGATCCTCATCCAACCTCACTTTGGACATCTCATGTCATACTACCGATTTCTTCTCCTATTCCTTTTTTGTGCATGCTGTGCGTTTATGGAATTCTCTCCTGGAGGATGTCACAAACACTCGCTCACTAAATTCTTTTGGCGATAGAGTTGAAAGCTATTTTCTTTCGATATGCTTATGCTAATAGTCAAAATCTACTTAAAGTTTTAATATGTAAAGATATATCTTATCATATCCTTCTGAGTTCTTCCTTCTAAATGTTGGTTGCGATGTGCACCCAACACCCCATATTTTTCCTCTCCTTTTATTATTATTCTTCTAAATTTCCTGGCAGAGATTGCTGTTCAGCAATAAGGCCGCCTTATTTGTACTCTTTATTAAAATACCGTGAAATTGCGTGTTGTTTTCCTGTCTGTGTCGTGGGCAATCAAGATTATATATATAGTATAAAATAAAGTCGGTTCCCGCTGCCTGTACCCTGAGATCTTTTAAATTACACAAAGGATATTAATATAGTCATTAATATACAGGGTGATTCAAGAGGAAGGATTATATATTATCCTGTGTCAATTATCCTGTATCATAATATATAATCCTTCCTCCATCACGCAGCAGAAAGCGAGTATTTAAAAAAGCAAATCTCTTACTGTTTGGCTGATTGATCTAGTAACGCACAGCTTGAACTACTGAATGGATCGAGTTGAAATGTGGCACAATAATAGCTATTATGACGTTAAGATTCGGCAATAAGGGATTTTGTAAAGTTCAACCTCGATGAGGGTGAAATACGGATTTAAACATTGTATAAAAAACTAAATTTTGAGGTACATGCGAGTGCGAGCGAAGCAGCGAGAAAAAAAAATTATATTATATTAGATTAGTATTGTTCCATTTTTAGTTTATAAAAAATACATTAAATATCATAATAAAATCTCAATTCCTAAAATAAACTTAAACAAGGTGGACTTTTATGACTACTGGCAATTTTTCATTCTAAATAGAGTTTCATGCAACTTTTCTAGACGTGTATTTAAAAGTTTTTGCTAAAGTCGGATACAAATATTGCTCCAACATGGCTCCAATAGACAGCGCAATTAAACAACTAAAACTGTATTTAACAGCTAACGCTGGATATTCAAGACTACTTTCTTTAAAGTTATCCCTGTTCTTGTTTTCTGTTATAATTTCCATTTTCACAAACTTTTTCCTTTAGCATGATTTCATGTTGCCATAAAAAATGTATTTACTGTTCTACATAGTACTCGTACGCTGAGCTATACTTTGCTATTATGTTAAAAACAGCCTTGAATTCGACGTCGAATACAGTACTGTCATAACTAGAGCTTCAATGGAATTAAACTTATATTACTTTTGAAGTATGTCGCTCAAAGACGAGTTCTTTCGAGGCTGTTCTAAAAGGAATGTGTGCGGGCATCAGATTTGGCTTTGTGTTTCGGAAATGTCTCGATGTTGCGTATACTCAATACACCAGCATAAATCACTGTTTATGCATAGAATCACTAAGGAATGAAGTGCACCTAAGACTAGAAATTTTTAAGTACAATATTTTTTTGTAAAAACAATAAAAATATACAATTATTGTGAATAACAAATTTATAATCTAGAATTTTTACTAATCAATCACAATTATGAATTCAATTCACCATATGCTTCTTAAGGTGAACGTCCATATGTCAACACGCACGCACATACACGCCAAAATTGACAGATGCATTTTTCATATCATCTACGCAAAATGTGACGGACGTATGGCATCGACGAATCCGTGCGATACGTTGCGTGTTGTGCGGCCGGTGCGTGCATGCTGAGGCAGTAGACGAGCACATTTAGTTCTCAACCTTTTTTCTGATTAATTTATTTAACTAAATAAACTTGTTATATGTATTCTAGTGGCGGACAATTTCGGCGTGGCAACTTATGGCATATTCCTGTTTCTACTCACTATCTGGTGGTCCATGAATTGGGGTGAAGCAACAGCTTGTCCTTACACGCACATTGAAGATGTTATCGAAGGTGAATAAAAACCCTACTGTATGCTTTTTATTGGAAAATTGACTTTGAGATAGCATTTCTGGATATAATCATTTCTTTTTAAATTTCAGGTAAAGGTGACATTCGTAAAGCCATACTGAAGACTTGGGCGGAATTGGCAGGTGGTCTGCTAGTGTTTAAATATGTCCAGATGTACTGGGCTCTAGAGATTTCTGAGACGCACAGGGATAAAGCTTTTGAGGACTGTAAGGCAGATCTACAGGTAAATTAATTTATACATATTTACTTAACATTTATATTTACATACTTTGCTCACTTATAAAGTGCCAATTGTTAATTGATTAACACACATTTGTATCATAAATTTAAAGCATACGTTTTTGAGTGCTGTAAGCCATAGTAATAATATCCAAGATATGATTAGGACAGCTAGGTTTTATAATAAATTTATTGCAAAGTTAAAATGAATATTTTGGTTATCGTTTAGATTTTTGATAAAATAAACTTTGGGCAGTCAAACATTTTAAGGGTCACATTCATTATTAAGTTTAAAATACATCATGGTTTTTCAAGCAATCATCTCAAATATCCATCACAAGAAATTTTATGATTTGAACACTTATTATTCTTAAAAAAAATTGTTTTGTTTTACCTGTTTTTATGCTTATGCTCTAACGGATTTTTGTGTTATTATTTTTTTTAATATTAATATATTAATTCTAATCCACTGCACTGAAATCAAAATCTGAAATCATATGATTTTAGATTGAATGATGTGCCAGATGAATTCACCCTTTCCAGACAAGGCTGCGTTTCCTTAGACGCATGCTCAGAGTCCGTTAGGGCACATCATATTAACAGTAACAATTGTTGCAATTTTTTTATGTAATGTGCTTGTTTACAAAAACAAGATAATATCTACCCCATATTCGATGCGTAAGGTAAGTACTAAATGGCATCTCAAAAAGTGCTAAATTGCTAGGTATGTCCAAAAAATAGCGCTAAATATGTTTTTACGTATTATAAATTATTTATAAAAAACAACTTACGTGTCTATTTTTTTTATTATAACAATATAACATAACTAAAGCCGTTCTTTTTATCTGTCAGAATATTCTGGGACGATTTTTTTTATGTAGGATCGTGCGTAAAAGATTGAAACATCCAGATTTCTAATTATTTTTTTGACATAGAGATGTCGGTCGTCTTTCTAATCATTTTGAATTCTCTCCGCATTACATTTTCTTTGACTTCACTTATAAAATACTGAATACTGCTCGATTTGGTGCTAGGTGCTAAAAGTCAAATTTAGGTGCTAACCTTATGAAAAAAATGCCAGATCTAGCACCGAAAGTGATAAGTCGGCAACACTGATTGGGTCAAAATGGGTTATAATAATAAATATAAAAAAATAACCATAGAAGCATAAAAACACGTTCATTTATATTAATATGAATAATTTGAAAATGTTACAAAGGTCTGTAAATATATCACCAATATGTCCACATATAAAGTTGTTATACTTCAATGCAATAGTAAATATGTGATAAGAGAAAATACAAACGATGTAGACTTATTTCTAATGATAAGATCGGCTATTTGGTTTAATAAGACTCTCATTACAGGTGCCAGTGTTATACGGAGCGGTAATAGAAGGCATCGCAACATGCCTCTGCAGGCTTGCTTCAAAGGCATTAGGCGATCTCAATCCCCGCTTCTCAACTGCGATTGATGCATTCATTGGTACCTCCTTAGTTGTGGCCGGTCAGTTTCAAACCTTAATATCGATTTGTTTTAAACAATTAAATTACGCTTACATAATTATTGACTAAAACATGTTTTCAGCATTCGCTAGAAAAAAAAAAGCTTTAATATACATTTTCCATGTATTTTTATTTTTCACATTTTTACACTTTACATAATTTTTAACCTTAAATATCATTAATCAAGTCTCATGCTTTTAACCACTTTCGGTATACTACATATTTTGATACACATTAGCAATCGTTAATGCAAAAGTAGCAGTTAGAAAACCTGTACAAATATCTTAGTTTTAAATTCATAAATAAAACTAGTATGTATCTGGAATATTGACTAAGGGTTTCTAGCACCAACTTACTATAACAATAAAAACATGTTAGAGTACCGGATAAGCAAATAATAATGGCTTATAATTTGGCTATGGTTAGATGACGTCATAACTGTAAACTATAACCACCGTAGTTTCGATGGTTAAACTTGTTGTTTTACTATGTCAAGAAAGAGGATGGTGCAATGCATTCCACAGTCAAAAACAGTCATCTTGATAGATAGTGTCAAAATAAACCTTAACTTTAACTGCAAATATTGAGTAATCGAGACTTAATATACAATACTTATACTCATACAATCCAATATGTATTGAAAATTTAATAAATATTAATAAGAAGGAAATTAAAATCAATAAGGGTTTCTTTAAAAAACAATTCAATAATTAGTTAAAAGTGCTAATTTGCTAAATTAACAGTTACGAGACACACCAGACACGTCAAAAGTCATCACATAACTCATACATATCTCAATAGCGTTCACTTTTCCAGGAGTCCTCACTAGGCACACGGTTTTCGTCTACCGGTATCAGGACAATAGTGCCAATGCGGACTTAAGCGTGTCCATCTTTTGCAAAGTACATTTAGGAAAAGGTACATTGTAAATTAAGTGTCAACTAATAATTTATAAAACATAGCATAATATGCATGGTAATACATCATTCACAAAATTATCGGTTCATTTACTCACAGTAATATTATTATCGAAAAAAAATCCATGCTTTGTTAGGCATTTAAATACGCTTAAGACCCATTAGCCACTTCATATTTCACTAAATGTTGTATATATCATAGATATAAGATTTTTATTTTCAGTGAAGTATACATTAAATTTAGGGCTTTATACTTTAAATACATTGTTACAATAATTATGTTTGATATTATAGATACAATTGTTACATAAATACGCGTTGTGATATTTTTGTTGTTTTAGATTTCCCTTTTTCTAGTATTCGAAGTTTTCGTAATTTGGGATCAGAGCAATATATGTGGTGTTGTCTAATATTTATTTATTTAAACAAAAGTAGATTTAGAGGTTTCAGGAACCTGGGTTCTAAAAAAAACAATTATAATCATTCGCAACCCCTTTCAATTTAATATTTGAAAGATATTTACGAATTTCGCGCTACAACTATTGACGTTGTGTGACTGTGATTAATGTGATAAGACGACGATTTTCTAAAAGATTTTAAATAGACGATATTGTTAATTAAGTATTTTCTAATTCAAGTTTTATGCGCAAATATCTTTGAAAGCTACTGACAAATGTCAAACGAAAGAGTTGTTTGCTAAATGTGTTTAGATTGTTTCAAAAGCGATTGCAACTTTAAAGTTATATAATTCTATAAATTGCTGTCATCATAGCTATATCTTTGAAAAGAATTATGATACACTTTGAAATTAGACAATTAGTCTATTGTACTGATTGATGCTAGGATGCTCTCTTTGTTATGTCATCAAAATAAATAAAATCCTCCTCGAAAACTGTTAAATATTTTATTATTGTTATTTTCAGCTTTCGAGTATTCTGGGGGATATTTCAACCCAGTTCTCGCAACTTCATTGAAAGCTGGATGCGAAGGCCACTCGCTATTGGAGCACGCAGTCGTTTATTGGTTAGGTGCATGCGCTGGATCCGTTCTCTCAGTTTATATGTACAAATTGCCAATAGTCAAGAAGTATATCCGAGGCACGACAGAAGTCAATGGTGACAGTATTTGGGCAGATAAAGAAGATTAATTACCTTCTGTTCACCATATTTGGTCGAGTTGTTATTCCAGTTTCTTTTTTAGTCTTCTTCTGTTGGTCTTCATTAGAAAGTTACAGTTCGAAAGTAAATGTTGTTTTACAAAATACCCTAAGGAGGCTTTAGAAGAACATTATCTAATATTAAATTAAAGTGATACCTTACGCTAGTCAAATTATCTGTAAGCAAAGCCTAGTTCATTGTAATAAATAACCATTCTCATCGCAGATGCAAAAATATGAGTATGAAATTATTTTTCCTACTTTTATGATCACATTTATTTATTAAATTTTTTATTCTATTTGTTGAATAAGTACGCAATTTTGTAATATATTTTTTTTACAATGCTTCCCCTGAATCCTCAACTAAATGTCTTCCTAAAATATAATAAGTGCTACGTGAACCTGTTGTAAATAAATCAAAATGTTTTGTTAGTAATTTGTATTATTTTATGTAATCTACCCAATAACTTGTCATTCTTATGCATTGGAACTTTAATTTTGAACCTCAAATCTCACATGCAAAATTAATAATAAAAAACCAACAAAAAGGCATATGATTGGTGCAGTATCTTTATAGTAATCTAAATTACATTTGATTATTGCCTCCAATCACAATTTGGCATTTTTCTTAATACGCCCTGAAAAGTGGCGTATTTAAAATTGCTAATATTGCCAATAAATCAAACCTTTAAGAGGGTCAGTTAATTTCTAAAATTCCTGTTCTAGATTTTAAAAACGTAAGCTATATTTTCTAGATATTCAAAAAGTTCGGAAGCATGTCATCGAGTGAGTCATTTCCGAACTCCTTTTAGATATATATTATGTTTTACACGATAACTTTTTCGTAATAAAAAGATGCCATGTCATGAAATATCCATGAAATACTGAAATTTCGTGGGTAATCGCATTATATCAATTTCTTTACATTAGCGATAGTTGCTAATAAAATGAAAATTGATATTAATGACCTTTTTAAGCCCACTTTAAAATAAGCTGATCAGATAGTAGCTAATCTTTTTTAACTAGTAACTCATAAGTTAGATGTTTACCATTTTTGTGCAACTAGGCTCTTAGATTTCAATTAATTATTAATTGTTTATAATTGCCTGTTATTACTTATTAACAATAACTTTTTAAGTGAAAATTATGATTTCAATTTCTGGGTTGCTAGAATATTTGCAGGAAATATTTTATTAGAAGTACTTTAGGTTGCTTATTTTAATTATGAAATATGTTACTTATTTAACTGAACACAATAAAATAGCTTGTTTTTTAGAAAACTGATGTCAATGGAAAACGTTATACTCGTATATTTAAAAAAATTAAGGACATTTGATCCTTTGTTGAGATGTTACTTACGACCTCCGTAGCAGAGTGGTTCGCACGGCGGTTTCAAGGTGTCGCCATCTCTGAGGTTCCGGGTTCGATTCCCGGTCTGGTCAATATCAGGGGCGTCTTAGTCATAGGAGCGAGTGGCGCAGCCGCATCCGGGCGCCGGACCTAGGAGGAGCCACCCTCTCGAGCGCCTGAGAGGGTGGCTGATCTAGGTGATAGTGCGTACAGTACTTTCTTACCTTCCTAACTAACCTTATCAAACCAATTATGGCTATAAATTTACGATATATGTATGTACACACGTACTTATAGAGTCGGTCAGACTCAAAGAAAGTGTTTGTCTTTTACGCGCGCCGCCGCACCTATAAGGTCTTTGGTAAACCTATAAGATCCCACTGCTGGGCAAAGGTCTGCCCTTCCTTGTGTTATGGTTCATTAATTATATATAAGTATATAATTAATATATTATGGTTTACAAACCTTTTTTCATTTTTGTGATATGTACCTACATTATGTAAAGCTAGCTGGTGAACAATAAATGGTCAAGCCCGTCTTTGCCCACGGTGCAGGGGGTGCAACGCACCCGGGCGACGCACGTTGGAGGGCGCTGCGCTGATGCCACGCCCCCCTCCATCATCGGGAAATTCCCTGTAATGGAGGGGGCCGGGTGCAAGCAATGCGCCACAACATTGCTTGCATCCGGGCGCCTGTTGTGCTTAAGACGGGTCTGGTCAATATATAAAATTAACTTTTCTGTATTGTCTCATATCTTGTATATTGGGTGTGGTACCTTCGCTGTCTCCGATACTCCATAATACGGGGGCTTTAGCTACTCATTTTGAAAGCTGAGCAATGTATGTAATGTTGTTGAATATTTATTTATTTATTACTTATAACCAAACGCAATTTTAATGGTACCCACAGATTTCAAATCAAAAGTCATATTCTATAGTATAACAGTAGCTATATTCGAATTTGATGTAATATACACATGAAATCTTTGATTATTTATTCTTAAACATGTTAAGGATGTCTTTATTATTTTATTTAATTGTTTCGCGAATTTATCTCGTTTCAGTATAATTACTTTTTAACGCTAGGGGTACCTACTCTGTTATGTTGGATAAAATCTGTAAATAAATGAAAATTTAAAAATAATAAAATTTTTATTAAGTTATCCTTGCGTTTAAACCACAGATATCATACATAAAAACTTTTTTTTGTGGGTATAGCTAACAAAGGATGTTTAGTTCTAGAATAAGTGACGTACGAGTAATACCAGTACCAATCATATACGGGTAGTAAATCCGCAGGTCTCTCGTCTAGACCTAGAGGATAAGGATGCGGCCGCCTGGGCCCATCTCCCATTATTATTTTCTTCATTAACGGTATGTTTTGACGGTTAAATAGTTGTATACCGTGATTTAGGCTTGGCACTTTGTATTTTGGTTTAACAGGAGTAATAAAAGGTCGGTCATAGTCTTGAATGTATTGGCTCGCGTGAAATTTTAAATACAGTTCATTTGGTATAGGTGTTGTATCTTTTTGTCTTCGGAATAGTGGCTCTTGATCTGGGATCATGAGGTGTATCGGTGGACGTCTCAGCACGAATTTCCCTTGGATTTTCTCCGTTACTATATCAATCGGCGCTGCTGGTAGAACTGTATTAAATCTTAAATATACTGCAATAAATTTATGATCTGAGTGATGGATGATACACATACTTGAGTACTAGTTAGTAAAAATTATAGGGAACGTCTACCCTAATCAAACATAGAAAAGGGGGGCCCCTATTCTATTCTTAATTAGGAACATGCCTACACAAAAATTACAAGATGCAAGACCAATTTATAACTAAAAAAACCTGCTTATTGAAATTGAGTTGGGCTTATTAATAGGATTGAAGCAAATTATTGATTCTAGACGTTTCATGATGAATATATAAAAAAATACTGCAGTACATATTAAATTGATAACTTTTTTGAGAAATTCTTGTTTCTTCCTCTTTTTAGGGATATAATATTATTTGTTTTCTCAAGAAAATATATTTTTGTAAAACTATAAAATATATATATATAAAAAAAAATTGTAGGACATAAGTATAATTATTGAAAATGACTTATGTAAGGTTTTAAAAATCATTACATATTTTCCCCTGAATTAGAGTTATCATGCTCACCATACAATCAAATACTGGCGAAATATTGCTTACACATTGTTAAAAGTAGCCAATTGTAAATATAAACCATTACAGTTACAAAAAGTGAAATATTGTAAACTGTAAATATTGAATGCTGACGAAAATTGAAATAGGACGAGAGCTTATCTGAAAAACTCATTTCCTCTGTGCAGGCGATAACGTTTGGAATATTATTTTGTTGAAATATATTCCTAGTATTATACTAAATTTGGATTTGTTTATGTTGGTGTTTTAAAATATTATTTTAATTATCTTAGGAATTTGAGCTCACTACAATAAGTTTGCGTAAAGTCATTCAATAATTTAAAAAAATGAATTTTCACAAACAGAAATCAAATTAAATTTTATAATAACCACATCAAATTTCTAGGTTCTGTTACAGTCAAAATGTTTTATAAATTTATAAATCGAAAAGTTTCTCCTTAACTTAATTTTGGTTTGTAATTAATTATATTCTTATTTTTACAGGGGAAATCGATAAATATGTGTGTACTGTAACCGAAGCAATTAAGCAGAACTTTTATAGTAATCGTGAAAGTTTGCGAGTTAAAAACCGGTTTTGCTGAGGTATTGACCACCCTCTATTCCTATGTGTAATAGATATGGACAGTCTTGTGGCTTTAAGCCCCCTCTTAATAGTAAATGTGAATCATTATGGACAAACATCACAATTTCCTGTAGTTTCGGAGAAATACGGTAGCGATAGACAGACATACAGAATACCGAGTGAACACTTTGTAGTACGGAACTCTAATAAAGGTATATTAGTGAAACAACAGAAAATCGTGGATTAAATAAATGTTTAGAAAAATAGATTCAAAGTATGTAATATATCTTTTGAAACTTACCGAAAGCTTCGTGAATTTTGATTAAGAACAATAACACTGATCAACACAAAGTCACGTAGTTGAAAAAGCTGGAGTAGATTAGCAAAGGCGGGCGGGGCATACCACAAGTTTTTAATTAGTTAAGTAGAACTTAAAAAAACCAAGTTGCTCCTAATGCTCATTCACTATCTACACTTTTAAATTCAACATCGTTTTCGATTATATAAGTGATAAAAGTTATCGATAAAGTGAAAAGAAAAATAATTATTGCCTTCTCTGTAATTGAAATATTTAACAAATACTTAATAGTGTAATTATTTATTTTTGTTCTCTTTTTGCAGTGATTTCTACTATAAAAGCAAGTATGGATATTGCACATCCAATTAACCAAACGTAAAAAGCTCCCGCACTCTGTGACAATTTAATACTACATCCAACCTTACAGCTGTAACTGTAACTCATAATATTTTTTGTCGCACTAAGCAATTTCGATTCCAACAGTATCCCTATACCTTCATGATACAATCGCTCCATTATGCCAGCCTCCCCTAGTCTAGTCATAATCTTCTGGAACTTCTTCGTTATAGTAACATTTTTCCTAAATAATATCTCATGGTAGACAGTCAGCATATTTTCAGAAACCTTTAATACTCCAACTTCATCATCCACAATAGTTTTTGCTTGAAACAACATGAATCTTCCATCTACTGTCAAAGTGACGCCATTGTGTCCCATAATCTTATTTTCACAGTCCGTAAAGAAATCACAATCCACTGAAGTATTAGCGAACGTTTCATATTGTTTATCGTGGACAAAATATTTACTTTTCGGATCAAGATATGGTATTAGATTTGATTTGTACATTTCTTCGTTTGTTTTATAAATAGTGGGTGGACTGGTAATTGTTAGAAAAGAATACATCTGGATGTTAACATAAGCAACAAGATGTAAGCACATTATCAAATAGAAGATATTTGTTATCCTATGTTTTAAATTTTGTGCTTTATATAATGAAGAAGTACCAATCAGGGCACCCCAGCCGTACAACATGATGTTACTAATCGGTATAGCTTGCTTATCAAATGCATGTAGTAAGTACCATATAAATGAGAAGCAGAAATAGAACACAATAAAAATATACAAGCCGTTCATATTGCCGACGAAGCTCTTCCAGGATCTGGCGCTCCTTTTTACGGTATACATCCAAATGAACGCTTGTCTTCCATAAACGCCAGAGTAATCGACGATATCGCCGTATATTCTGAACAGTCCACCAGCACAAGCATCTAGAGTACCATTGAGGAGGAATTTCAAAAACTCTGTAGAAATTTCGCTTTTGGCTTCATTATCAAAAATAAAATAGTATTGTATTGTAAAGTTGAAGTACTCTGACATAATTTTCATGAGTTCTACGTCACATCCTCTTATATCATTATATTTTATAGGATCCATTAGTTGCATTGTATCCATATCTTTGATTTTAGAAAACGGAATGTATGTTGTCATTCCCACTCTAAAAGGACAACCCATCATATCATCATTCTGAGTTTCTTTGTTAGGAAATATTATGAGATCTCCTTCAGAAGCACAATCAGCTATAGACGTGTATGATATGTTAAATTGCATTTTACAATCTGTTGAGTTTAATTTTGGTATAAAAGTTAGTATATCATAGTTATTATCATATGTCAGTTTAAGGAAAGTCATCTCATATTTGCTAATATGACGAGAAACATTATTAAAAAGAATTGAGTCACACGCTTCTGATGTATTAAATATAATCACCAAATATTTTATTGTCTCATTAATGTTTCGGAATTCTTCGTTTAATAACGTATCACAGTTTAATATATACTGTATCGATAGCAAATGTTTTTCTGGAACATACATTGATTCTATGATTTCATCACTGTTAATTATTGTCGGCATGTTGTATTTAGAAGTCATATGTATGAGCTGGTCGATGAAATCGTGAGTGTACTCGTGTATTGTTAAATTATTTATTTCATTATTTTCATTGATACTAATTGTTGGAGCGTATATGAAATTTGATTTAGTAATTTTCGTTATACATTGTAACAATAGTTTATGGTTATCTTTGTCATCGGAATGTACAGTTATTTTACACTGAAAATTTCGAATAACTAATGCAAGTATTATTATAAATTGAGTTTTAGAATCCATCATAGGTCCACATAATATAATTCCTTCCTTATTCAAGTTTCATTGTGCGTTATAATCCGAAGCTATATATGTAAACTTAATACAACGTCTTTAATTTAAAGAAAAATTCGCTTGTGATTTCGTAACGAAAAGTTGAAAGCAACACAAAGAACTTTTATATTCCACCGTGTCGTCTACGAAATGATAGTTTCAGTATTTACAGTGGGAAGCTTTTAGAGCGGGAGGCGGGCGAAATACGTTTTATCGTTTTAAACGCTATAATTTTCTCAGAACAACTATATACATTAACGAAACGAATAAACGGTAACTAGAGTATGGGCCACGGAACATTAAAATCGTTTTTATAGTTTCATTTTTAATGACTTCGGCTCATTGTTGTTGGTCTGTTTTTAGGTCGATATACCAAATGTGGACTCTCTGTGAAGATATCCCACCATATTTATTATAATAACTCAACAGCTTCTGAAATTCAATTGTAAATGTCGTCATTATTAATGTTGATTTTTATCCCTCTGACACTGGCAACCTAGGCAAATGCCTCTACTTTAGTATGTCCGGTCCTGACGTTACAAATATTTTCCGTAACCCACATATACGCTCTATCAACTAGTAAAATGACTTTTCGAATGTGGGCACTTTACATGGCATGCGTTACAAGAATCTACCACACCCGCGAGGTCCATCGTCCAATAAAAATACTTTAGGACTTAGAAATCTATATCTAGAATTTAATGTCGCTTATATTTCTTTTTAGAGAATTGCTTGTGTACATCCAGGAAGTTTTAATATTGTTTTCTTATAGGTAAATCATATCCAGGTCTTTTCTCTTTCTTCTTTTAACATGCTAATATGCGAGATAAAAATTAAAAACCGATCAATACGAGTCCGACTCGCGCACGAATTATTTATAAAAAAAAAACGGGAAATAAATCACGTTTGTTGTATGAGAATCCCGCTTAAATATTAATTTTATTCTTTGGATACGGAACCCTCAAAATGTATCTTTACCACATTTATTATTATGATATTATATACTAACTGCATTAGGAGGTCGATTACAGTTTTTGACAATGACAAAAATATTAAAAGCATTCTTAAATTAGAAATTAAGTAAATAAAACTTTGTAAAATGGTCTATTAATATTTCTTTTGTTTATTGATACATTTTTTTCTGTTTACATCACAGAAAGAGAATTGAATGAGTAAATAAAAGAAAAGGGTGAGTTATAAAACGATTTGCCAGTTTTTAAATCAAAGATGACTGCTTTAAAAGCTATGTTAAGTTCAGTTGTTGACGATTTGAATAAAAAATATTATTGTTTAAAGAAATTACTTTTTAATACGACAAAGAATTAATACAATAAAGATCTTTAACAGCATTAACAGCTTTTCGCAGCCGCGTTAATACGAATTGATGTGTGTTTACTCCAGCGTCCGGAGCATCTAGATTAAGTCACTTTGAATATAATTGAAATGGCCTTCTTTAGCCGATGATTCAAAGTAACGAAGAATTTAGCTTTATACGCATTTTTTTGTGTTTTACGAAGAGAGACAAAGTTTTTATTTCAAACGACATTTTTAAGGACTTTTATCTTTAAGATATGTTCTATCGTACCCTAAATAAACATTACCTACAGCTTTAAAATAATGACAGAGAGAACAACAAAATCGATGACTTACCATGTCGCATATAAATTTTGCTTTATTTGTCAATGGTTCACTCAGTGCATTTTGAAAAATACCACAATAGTTCGATTTATTATTATGGTCAGTGTCATAAGACTACGCTGTCTTTTCGTAATCGAATAAATAATTATAATATAGCTATCACTGTAAAATAAATTTCTTGTTTCAAACTTTTTAGTGCGTGATTTAGCTGTAGTCGTGTTTTAGTTTTTGAACTTATTTTTTAATTTATTTTCCGGTGTATTTAAGCAATATCGCAAGCAAAAGCTATCAATATATATTTATATTAGGTCCTTATATATGAAATTGGCGTTTTGTCGTACTGTTTGTCCTATTTATGTCACCCAGTTTAAAAAATGGAAAACTTGAAATATCGTGTTATAACGAGTACGAGTTCCACCGTGGTACCAGTGCTTCGGAAACGGCTCGAAGGGTTAATGATGTGTATGGCGGTTGTGTAGCAATAGAAAACACAGTGCTTTTTTGGTTCCAACGTTTTCGTTCTGGAAATTTCGACCTGCAGAATAAGCCCCGTGAACGTTAATAATGAAGAATTGAAGGCTATTGTGCAAGCAGATCCATCGCAAATCACGTCCGAGTTAGCTGCAGACTGCGGTGTTAGTGATAAAACTGTTTTAAAGCACTTGAAGCCAATTGGAAAGATTAAAAAGCTTGAAAGGTTACCCACCTTACGAATTGAGTGAAGCAAACCGGCAAACGCGCTTCGAATTCTGCGTTACATTACTTAACTGGCACAATAATGAAGGGTTTTTAAATCGAATCTTTACCTGTGATGAATAGTGGATTCTCTTCGATAATCGGAAGCGCTCTTCGCTATGATTGGACCCTGGCATGCCAGCCAAATCCTGCTTAAAGCGAAAATTGACCTCAAAAAGTTACTTGTAAGCGTTTATTGGACTAGTGCCGGTGTCGTCCATTACAGTTTTCTCAAATCTGGCCAGACGATTACGGCAGATTTCTATTGTCAGCAATTGCAAACCATGCTAGAAAACTAGCTATCAAACAAAATCGCTCTATGCCACTGCTACTTCACGACAACGCTAGACCACACACTGGACAACAGACGGCTACTAAATTAGAACAGCTTCGATTGGAATCTCTAAGACATCCACTGTACTCCCCGGACCTTGCTCCAATAGATTTCCATTTATTTCGAAATTTGGATAACTTCTTGCACGGGAAAAAATCAACTCCGGCATAGTGGAGCAGTGCTAATCGCCTTCAAAGATTTTATTGATTCCCGTCCGAATAGTTTTTTTAGTAAGGGGATCAATGAACTACCTATGAGATGGCAAAAGTGCATAGATAACAATGGTTTATACTTTGATTAAATAAATATGTTATATTAAAAAATATTCGACTTTTTGTTCCTCCCATACAAACACTAATTTCATATGTAAGGACCTAATTTTTCAAATGTGTTAATTAAGCCCCTTCATTTGATATTCTTTATTTATGTTGTTGGCTTAAGCTCGTTTTCACAAGACTTAGGAGTCGCCTACGATGACTATTCTTTGTCTAGTCTAGTTTCAGTTTCTAGTTTCTAGGCATGTCTAGTTTCACTTTCATCAAACACGATTTGGTAAAACTGTTATAATTAGTAGTTTTCTAGTAAATAGCTTACAATAACATTTATTATTTATTTAATTTAATCTTAACATAATTACATATTATAATGAAATATATAGTTCCACAAAATCATATAAAACAGGGTTTGCCTGCGGAATCAGATACATATATGAGTTTAAATATGTGATGCAATGAATTATTCAGCGCTCCTGGTTACTTTAATATCCTGCTATTGGTCACCGCACCGAAAAACTTCAATGAAATTTAATTAAAAGACTTACAAAGCCGATGGATCGAACTCGAGCAAAAGATGCCCGCCAACTTTATTATTGAAACTGTTTTATGTAAAAATTAATTAGCTTTCTATTATAAAATTACATCCTATTAATATTATAAAGGCGAAAGTTTGTAAGTATGGATGTATGGATGTTTGTTACTCTTTCACGAAAAAACTACTGGACGGATTTGGATAAAACTTTACAGCAATATAGGTTATACATCAGAATAACACATAGGGTACTTTTTACTGGGAAAACTTCTCACTCCCACGGGATACCGACTTCCACGCGGACGAAGTCGCGGGCGTCCACTAGTTAAATATAAAGTTAGAAATATTCATGTCAACTATGTCACATCAGAGTAGCTATTATAACATGAATTTAGAAATGATTATCCATTTAATATTAATTGATAAATGTAATACTTTGTAACTATAACCACCCAAACGTTCCCGGTCACAAAAGTAAACAAAATATTTTTGTCGTCATACGTCCTATTAGATATTGTCACATTATATTATGTTTTAATATTGTTTTGAAACTTAATTGTCCAGACTTTTCTTAAATATAATAGCTTTTGTAAGAAGTCGTCAGGTCTTATCTTTCAGCTATGATAAGATATAATAAAATGAACTGTCGTAGTAGTCTGATTTAGGTCCAAAATACCTTTTATATTTATTTAAAAAATGTATTAAATATTGCTCAAAAGTTATGATCAATTTTCATTCACAATGCTATACTCAAGAATATTCTTAATGAAAAATGAGATGGGACTCGAACCCATGACTTTTCGAAATCCAGGCGACTGCTTTTAACACCGAGCTACCCAGGATCTAACAGGACTGACGAATCTTTAAAGCACTTGTTACTTTCATGCTACTACAAAGCCGTTTTTTCATCAATGTTCATGCAATCCACCCAAACAGCCGAAATAAATATGTATTTTTTAAGCATTTTTTATAAAAACAACTTTTTCAATGCAGTTGCTCATAAAGCGCTATTTTTTTAATCTATTGTAAACACCGAAAATGAGTCTTTAAACACGTGTTAATTAATAATGTACTGAAATCCTTTACTGCACACGTGCTTAAAAGTATCTTTTTATATTTTTTTGGCCGAGAACCAAAGAAAAAAAAAATGAAAATATGTCAAATTTTAGAGGCAAAGGAGGCATTTCAAGGAGCCTAGAACGAATATTTTCAAATAAAAATTTATGACACGAAAACATGTTCAAATATCACGTTTAATTTTTACCTTTAATACATACTTAGTTTTATTAACCTATATATTTGTTTTATTTCCTCGCAAAAAGCATTGAAAAATGTTGTAAGAGACTTGAGCGTAAAAGGTTTTTCGAATTCGTGCCAATCCTTTTGGCCCTTATTCGTAAAACCTTACTTTCCGCACTCGTATCTTAAATAACTATTTTATAAAGTTTTTTATTATTATAAGTGTTATTTATTTTTCGGGTATCATTTTTACCTATCTCGTGTTATTTTTCATTTAACTTCTTCTTTATTCTGTCACCACTTCACCAACATTGTCTAGACAGTGTTAATGAACAGCGTTCCTTCGATTCCAAGATACATTA